ATATGATAAGATATACACGTTTATTTTATTATTTATTGTGATAATTGTCTAGATTACAGGACAATATTTTAATACTGACACAATTTATTATATTTTCCAAATATGCATGCTTTGAAACTAATGAAAGTAACAGTGAATTAATTTTTATTTCGTCGTCAGAAATTAAATTGGATTTGTGATACAATATAGTTTATTATGTGTTAGATTTATGTAGTGCGTTTTGCATTTTACCATTCAAGATTATAAACATATTTGTTATAACATGGAATCAGTTTCATAATTTTACTACAATATTAAATTACTCCTGTGTGTGTCCGACAAATCAACTACTAGAGAGAAACATCATGCTTTACAAAATTGCCATTTAACTTCGAACATTATTATATTTTTATTTCAATGCAACACGACTGTCTTTTGAATATGCTCATCAATACCACATCAGTTTGGTAAACTGCCAAGAAATCATTACGGATATCCGTGTAATTGAAGACGACCTCTTGGTGAACTGAAATTGATTGTAATTGCCAGCTTAAAATATCAGTGAGTCACATGACAACTTGTATGTCTATCAACAGCTAGGTAGTAAATTGCATTGGCTGTATCTAGTTCGTATTGTCACATGATCACTCTATTGTGGTCTAATTGTCGGAATGTGGACTTCCGGTGTCTTGTAAACAAACCATAAACTCGTGTAAGCGACAGGTACCAGGAAGTCGCCCGGTAATATACAGGTTACTAGCTGTGGGTCCTCTGATTGAATGACAACAACACACGGACTGAGAACAAATGTGTTTATCCTATAAGGAGTATAACTTAAATGGAGTAATCTTATGTTTACCAGAACGATTGAAGTAGATAGATAAGTGCAAGAGTACCATGATGCTATCACAAGAGAATTTGTATTCTGGAAATCACGTTGTCATCGAGAATGTTAAGGACAACATATGCTTTACACAAAGCAAGAAAACAGGAGAATACTGTTGGAATGTAACTTTTATCAGAATCTTATTGCATTGATTAGAAAGATAAGATGGTTCCGGATAAATCTTTATCTCTTTTTTTTTTTTTTTTTAAGTATCGCGGCATTGCACTGGAAACACCTCAACGCAATTCCTATTCTGTCGTTTTAAATTACTGTTTCTTTAAATGTGTACCTTCTTCCTCTGCTCAACCCAGACTTGAGAAGTTAACTATTTTTTAAACTTTATACGACATTTGCCGATACCGCGACTGGTGTTATCACGCGCGCGGGACCACGCCCGGGAACCCGTAACGCTAATAAATCGGTACGGACTATGAAGTGGCACTAATGACAATGAATCCCTGCTAATGTTTAACTAAGCCCCACTCGGGGCCGTATTTATATATACTCAACAAAAACAAGCCAGAGATGGCAGGTTCGTCAGGGAAGCAAATACATCGACCAACATCCACGATCGTCCCAGTTTGGTCTCGTCTCAGGCACGACTCTGGTGGCTAAAGAGCCGACGTTGTTATGTTGATACATCTTGAGCCGAGTTTGGCTGCAGTCACGAAACAACGGAGCCAATCACGGGAGCTGTTGTGTATACAAATTGCATTGTTTATGTCACGCGTTTCAACCGGTCGATGTTGTCATTTAGTTTGTTGCTGATACCTCAGCCGCAGTTACGTATTTGACATTTGACACTTGTTCTCTTGAATGAATTTGACTTATGCCACTGAGGTACGAGAAAGTTACATTTTACAGGGTTCATTCTGTTTACCTGTACCGTAAACACTCATTAAATATTATCAAAAGTCGACAAATTTACTTACATAGAACCATTGTTATCACATCGAAACAAAAGATTGACGACAAATGCCATTGTTTTAACCACAGGTAAATATCACCAAAAAGTCTAGAAAACAGGTCTCAGTCTCGAGATTTGAACAGCGGCTCAAACAAACGCTGACCACTCTATATCCCCACAATTTACAGAATAGGTAACATCCCGCATTATGAACTGTAATGGGAAGCAGATGAACACTACTCCAACTTAGTATTCATCAACACAAAGTCCTATTCAATATTGACAAAACAAATTTTGAAACATTTGAAGACTACATTTCGAATTTTCTTGGAAATCTGAACGCATTTGAGAGCATTTAGTTAAATTGTCCTGGCTCTGAATCGTCATCTAGTAAATCAATGAAACGATATTATAAATAAAATCAGAAATTCACGAAACAATTCATTATATTAACCTATTGGTCACAAGGTCAAGGACATCGTGAATGTTTGAGAATTCAGGAACAGGTTTTGTTGGAACAATTTATTTCGTTACCGTGGTCTAGTACATCTCTACATGACTACATGAATGAAATATGTTTATAATCAAATACAATGTGATATTGTTTCTGATACGCAACACGTAAAAAAACAGTTCATCTTGATATTTTGTCTGTCTTGATAGAATCGGGCTGAAGAAGCACAGCCTGAATATCCATCTCCCCAGAGAAAGTTGTAAATTATGTTATAATAGCAGCAGTTATGAATAAACCTTCTGTTTGACATGGGTAATTGTGTTGGGAAAGATATTTCAGTTAGGAAGAGGGATAATTAAGGTATCTTGGGGGTGTTTTGCTTTTCTGCAGTAGGAGTGCTTGAAGTACAGCCACTGTATGAAATCAATCATCACCTACAGACAGCGAATGTGACGAGTCATTTGCAGTAAATAACCAGATAAATTTCCCTCGCTGATCTTAACAGTTATGTAAAGCCCAATTTACTGCAGCAATTTAGAAATCTGTACACGAACTGTTATTTTATTTGCGTCTTCTTTTGAACTATAACAACAAACTACACACAATAGTATTATCAATAGATAAAACACTGCTAGAAAATACAAGAACGTATTTACTATACAAACATCTTACACCAAAATATTTATTCAAACACATATTCAATATACATATACAAAAATACTTATTTAAAAAAATATTTAATATACTAAAATCTTACACTAAAATACTTATTCAAAAACATATTCAACATACAAAAATTTTTATTCAAAAAAGTATTTAATATACCAAAATCTTACACCAAAATACTTATTAACAATATAATTCGGGAAGCAAACAAGTAAATTTAGCATCACGGACGTTTGGTGCAGTTTTTGGTTATACAAACATGTAACTAATTTAAAAGTATTTTGAGATGCTATTCATTTGTGTGTTATTTGTATACTATTACAAGGTGTAGGTGATGTAGACACATGTGGTTATTTTATCTTTACCAATATCCCCATTTAATCTTTCATTTACTCATGACGATATATTAATGACGACGCACCTAGATAAATCACTCGGCAGGTATTCAGTACCCTTTTGACTAATTTCCCATGTGTTCAGGTGTTCATTTATGTTAGAATATCGTTCATCGTGGTCCTGTTCGAATATAAAACTGAAATTCTGATAGCAAGTACGCATGTACTGTATACGTGATTGACATGCTGGTAACACGTGAGTTATTGTTTTTAAGCCTTTGTACACTCCCAGTCCAGCAGAAATGTTCGGGTTGTTTTGTAAGATACAACAACACTTGATATGTGTTGATATGCGCCATTAAATCAAGAAAGAAAATTCTTTTAATTTCATACAATTCAAATCTTTTCTAAGTTACCAATATGATATTGAGAAACTTTTAATTTTACATAACTTACATTTTCTTAATTTTACCATTATAATATTGAGTAATACCTGTAAGGTGTGTTATCATTTTGATTGTGACGTCACCAGACATATCTGGCAACCAATGAAAAATGACTATTTGTGACAAATATTTTACAAAGTTCAATATGTAGAATGCATAATTCCATGTTTAACTAATATAAAGCACGCACGTGGGTGGTCGTGAGACATTTCCGTTTCATACGACTATTTTCTTTGATAACTCTGTGATAAATTGTTTTCAAATAATGTCCTTCAATAGTGTTTATTACAGTACACCGTTCGTCATTTAATACTAAGACTTTCTGAACATAACTTTAATTGGGTGTTGTAAATATACTGATCTGTTGTGCGGGCGAACCCATTTTGTTATCTCTACAAAAGATATCTGCATTATGTTAACCAGCCGTGTAGACGTCCCCCAGGGGAACGTGCTGTTTACAACTTTAACAATAACTGAGCGAGTCTTTGTGAAATGTTATGTAACATCGAAATCAGAATAGTTTATCCAACAATCACTATATGCTTGCAACATACTTTCTAAATACAAAAACAGATTTCTTTGTGCAGTTTGGTACAAGACAGGACTTTATGCCAATGCACAACGTGATGAGACAATGAGGGTTTTATTCTATCACACACAGCTAAGATTATTTGCTCCTTTTTAATTGATACCTAACCTAGTCTACAATCCATTGCTATGTTGGATGGAGTTCAAGAATGTCCCGCTGATTATACTGAGGGTCGGTCGGAGTGCATCTTATGAATCTTTAAACGCACTAGTAAACAATGGCTTTTTCTTACATAATCTGAGTATATGTCACTAGAAATAATACAAAAAATATCAAAACATGATTATTGTAAAATTTTGTTTTTCAAATCTTACATCGATAAATAAATAATGTCTGGCCTTTTTGATAGAAAATGCCTGAATAAAGTACATACTTAGTATGTCTTCCGTAACAAGATTCAAGGAGGCTGACGTTCTGTTGGCCGTGATTATCGTTTCATACCAGTGAAGGGTGTGTGTGTTTCTTTTCCAATGATAATTACACACCGGCGATAGTGGAAAAGAAATATTTTGTATCTTTCGAAACATACCTGTGGTCGGGAAATATTTGTTTGTGTGTGTTTGTTTGTTTTTGTTTGTTTGTTCCGTTTTCTTTTCTTTCCGTTTCTTTTTCCCCTTTTAAATTCTTATATAACGCACTTGTGAAGTATGATTTTTTTGTATAACAGTAATATATACGTTTTGTTACTTTGTATAACATATACATACTTATGATGTTTTGTTCCATACAGGTAACGAAATGAAACGGTGGGTGTGGACAGGGACGATTTTTCTCTTCATCCTCAACACTGTATCATCACAGACAGGTAGGATATTCATGTACATTCCTTTCATATAAATCTTTAAATCACAATTTCACAAAACCTGTACGAGAATTCACGTGCTCTGTTAATTACCGAAACAGACTTATGAACAAACGAGAGTTCCTTCCCTTAGACCCGAAACTTTTTATAGTCAACGCCAAATACATGGTAAATAATGTTCCGAAGTGTCTTTATGACTTTGAAGGTAGTTATGTGATATATAACGTATATTTCTGGAGACTTTGATGATACCATGTTAAATACTAGTGACCTATCTTAACTGAAATGCGAATTCATTCCTATTTTCACTCTCAATATCTGGAAATGTGTTTGTGAACTATTTCCATTAACAAACCAGTCATGTAAACATCACACTACTGTATTTTGTGACTTATTTCAAACAAAGACAAATAATTCATTCTTTTATTAACTGAGTTAATGAAATTATATTTGTTCAGACTGTGGTAACTATGGTTCGTGTGGTTTGATATAGCACCGACTTTTATTTTCTCTCTTTGTACGACTGCTATTTATAAATGTCTATGAGAAATATAGCGCAGTGTTTGTGTCCTTACCACAGACACTATTCCTTATACTGAGTTCATTGTGTCTACGATGTCCGTCCAATCATGATTTCATATATAGCACTTGATGGTAAATTTGGCCTATGTTAGATATACGACATATGCATCTTTCTTGACGTTTCAGTCAGTTTATGATAATGCGCTTCTTATGAATTCAATCCAAACATTCGTCATTATTTAAACTATAGCCTGTAGTTAGTATGGTATGAATCATATGCGTCCGTCATTTTGTGACTTCAGACCTTATCGTTTACTGTTAATAATATATATATAATAGGTATACCTGTATCCTCACGTGATCCCCGACACTGCAGGCTAAGGGTAATTTTTTATGTACCTCACGTGACCCCGACACTGCAGGCTAAGGGTAATTTTGTATGTACCTAACGTGTCCCCGACACTGCAGGCTAAGGTTGATTCTGCATGTACCTCACGTGACCCCGACACTGCAGGCTAAGGTTGATTCTGCATGTACCTCACGTGACCCCGACACTGCAGGCTAAGGCTAAGGTTGATACTTTAACTCTGTATACCTCACGTGACAATGACACTGCAGACTAAGGTTAATTCTGTATGTACCTCATGTGACCCCGACACTGTAGGCTAAGGTTGATACTGTATGTACCTCACGTGACCCCGACACTGAAGGCTAATGTTGATACTGTATGTACCTCACGTGACCCCGACACTGAAGGCCAAGGTTAATACTGTATGTACTTCACGTGATCCCGACACTGAAGGCTAAGGTTGATACTGTATGTACTTCACGTGACCCCGACACTGTAGGCTAAGGTTGATACTGTATGTACCTCACGTGACCCCGACACTGAAGGCTAATGTTGATACTGTATGTACCTCACGTGACCCCGACACTGAAGGCCAAGGTTAATACTGTATGTACTTCACGTGATCCCGACACTGAAGGCTAAGGTTGATACTGTATGTACTTCACGTGACCCCGACACTGAAGGCTAAGGTTGATACTGTATGTACTTCACGTGACCCCGACACTGAAGGCTAATGTTGATACTGTATGTACTTCACGTGACCCCGACACTGCAGGCCAAGGTTGATACTGTATGTACTTCACGTGATCCCGACACTGAAGGCCAAGGTTGATACTATATGTACTTCACGTGACCCCGACACTGAAGGCTAAGGTTGATACGGTATGTATCTCACGTGATCCCGACACTGCAGGCCAAGGTTAATACTGTATGTACCTCACGTGATCCCGACACTGCAGGCCAAGGTTAATACTGTATGTACTTCACGTGATCCCGACACTGCAGGCCAAGGTTAATACTGTATGTACTTCACGTGATCCCGACACTGCAGGCCAAGGTTAATACTGTATGTACTTCACGTGATCCCGACACTGCAGGCCAAGGTTAATACTGTATGTACTTCACGTGATCCCGACACTGCAGGCCAAGGTTAATACTGTATGTACTTCACGTGATCCCGACACTGCAGGCCAAGGTTAATACTGTATGTACTTCACGTGATCCCGACACTGCAGGCCAAGGTTAATACTGTATGTACTTCACGTGATCCCGACACTGCAGGCTACGATTAGTATATAGTTTATGTAGTTCGCTCGTTAATTAGGCTGTAGGAGGAAAAAAACCGTGAGTAGATCTGTTTACTCTGTCATCATTCTACAATAAACACATCTACTCACAGGTTTTTTCCCCCTGCCTAATTAATGTCAGCTAAGATCAAAGTGAAGCGCCAGTCCCACAGGTGTGAATGTAGTCATAACAACAAACTGTACTAGGTGTCACATAGCACAACATGTATCACAACATGTATGTACTTTACAGGGTGACTTTGAAGCTTTTAAAATGAGATGCATAGACAGCTGCTAGTGTTTAAAATCCCAATTTACGTCAGTCTAGTCTCGCGCCTTTCCTAGAAATACTTAAACCGTTTTGTTCGAAGTCACAAGAAAAAGTCTTGCCTGAAAATTATTAGTAGACCGTTCCTTCTTGGAATATAACACCCAAACTTTTACAGGTGTGTTCATCGTTGTTCTTTATTGAGTAATTTATATTAGTCATTTTGATCGACCTTTTATTGATAGTTCAGTAACAATGCTGACCTCAGCTAATGAGGTCAATCCTAAGTGGTTTTAAGGAGATTTAAGGTACTATTTAGTTCACTCGCTGACAACATAATGAAGATTTCTTTCTTCGTTGAATGTTATACTGTATAATCATCGGGACATAAAGGCAGCGGAGAGAACATGAAACATTTACCTATCTTAAAGGCAAGTATATGTCAATAACATATACAACAGGATACATGAGTAACATTAAAAACCTTTACTGGATTCCTACCGTAAACTTGATTTAAACGTGATTGGCAGGAGTAGACCACTTTCTTGTGAACTGTAATTATTGCGTTTTTACCTATTTTGTGTTATGTACAGTTCTGATAAGAATGTATTTTTGTTATTGAAATTGTACGTATATAAAAATATGATTGAATATTTTTTTCTAAATTAGGTATGGGTGTTTTAAAGATTGACTTAACAGAAACTATCTGTATTACTTTGTAAAATTATGGTTATGAATTGATTAATTATAACACAGACAATATGCTCTGAGTATCTTCAGTTCCTTATTAGTAACCGGTAATGTACATCACAACGTTAAGCTAGATAGTATTGTCAGTATATACCATAAATCACTGAAATGTGTTTAAAACCATCATCGTAGTGATGTACCATAGTGCCGAGTTGGTAATCTCTAGATAGTAGTGTCAGTGTATATCACAAATCCGTAGTGATATGTTTAAAACCACCATCGTAGTGATGTACCATAGTGCCGAGTTGGTAATATCTAAGTTTGGTAGTACGGGTCAGTCAAACAAGTCATATAAAAACTCGTAAGAAATTGGCTAAAAAGATACGACACAAACGTGTGATCGTAGTTAAATTGCGAAGAAATCAAACAATATTTTTTTCATTATCGGCATCATTAAGCAGATAAAATTGATATCACTGTGTTAAAGTTAAATAGGATATTGTTAATACAGTTACCGTTATCTGTCAATATGGTATATACCGTATAGTTACAATAAGTCAGAAAAATCCGTCTTCTAGGTACTAACATATTGTATAGAGATCACAAATACTGAAATCTGAAAGGATATTTGGAACTTTTATCAATGTAAAACAATAGTGCATTCCAACTGCAGTCATATCAAACAATATCATCGAAAACAAGGATGGAGAAACTATTGAGAATGTTTTCTTTGCTTTGTCAGTGAGATGGAATGGAAATAATGGTGGAAACTGTCTAGGTGTCTATTCTAAACATGTAATACTGACTCTCTTAACAAACCATGCTCTTGTAAATACTCTGTTGTTCGGACGATGTTTACGTATCCTTCCGGTACTGGTCACGTGCAAATGGACATGACATCTTCGTTAGAGATCGTGGTTTATAGATAAAAGAATTAAATATCTCATGCATTTACCTATATATTTGTAAATACTGTAAAGTTGATCATTTTCGTGTGTGTTGTAATTTCGTTAAATTCTTCGTTACGCAAAATCTACAAATTAATCATCTTTTTCCACGAAATGACGAAAGATAAAAAGAAACATGAAAAACGGTACTAGTACCTTTCGTGCGTAAGATCTGTCCACGAGATAAATCGCCATCGAAAATGAATTATTTAAACCATGAAATTTTATCCCAACAAAGTATGCTTCTACAGTAAGTTATAGCCGATGCTGTAGAATAGTCTACATACAACCTTGTCCTACATCTGATGCTGTCCATTGTAGTTCCGCCATCTTGTTCCTTCTTATCACATTGAATTTGCATTACTTTTTAATGACATTACTAGGCTTGAGTCCTTCATTAACCGTGTTAAATTATCGCCGCTTATCAATAAACTACGGTCAGACTTCTGCTACTAATGAATGCATCATTTTATTAAGGGGTGTAGTGATTATTGTGATATTGTCAGATTACAAATTATTTATTTGTGCAGCTGAATGTTGTGGGCAATATACAGTGTATATCTGATATCAGGTATAAAGTTTCCCACATTTATTTATTATCATTTTCAGAACTTAAACTATTTAGCTTCATGAAAATTATGTATTGTCCTAGTAGTGGTTTTTTGATATAGTACATAAATAATGTGTGACGTTGAACTTTGTGATTTTTTTCTTTCTTTAATCCGTTATTGTTAAACTGGCCTGTACGAAAAATACGTAGATCATTTGACCATCGATATGCATGAAAATATTATTGTATTACAACTACAAATATATCGAGAAGTTTGTTAGAAACAGGAAATTTGGAAACAAATATACAACATTGTATGGCATTGGTACCATGTCGCCTTCCGGTGAGTATAAAGCATGGAGTGCAAGCTGAAAGTAGTTCAATACCTTTA